CTGAGACAAATTCAAACACTGCAGCCCTACAATAACCTCAATGAATGGCCAACGGTCGTAAATAGACTAGTGTATAACTAGCGCAAACAGAGCTTTACATTCCAATTTCAATGATATTGAAACCCCGAAAAATATCAAATTAAGCGTGTGCAATGATATGATAAAGCCAGTTCTATATATGGCTATAAGATCTGAACATTAACAAGCGCCATACCAAAAGTATTAAAAGATTTTAGAAAAAATCCTCCGCACGATAACCGGAGATATCTGGGATCAGATTACTAACACATGAAGAAGAATGACCAATAAAGAGCTGTTTAAAGAAACTGGTCAATCAATATCTCATGACATCACAATGATCAACTCAACGGTAGGCAAACGACCAAGTGGAAGGTCAAAAAGCAGATGGATAGATGGAATCAACAAAGATGTAATAGATTTCCGAGGAGATAACTGAAAAGAAATAGCCTCAGATGGGCATTTATAGAGCAGTCTTGATACAAGATTTGTAATGCCAACAGGAAAAAAAATATTGTCATTTGCTCACTGGCCAATATGTTATGTGAATTATTCGAACAGGTCAACCAGTTGTAATTTAATATAATAAAAACATCATAATGAACGTATGCATAAGAAGTTTAATTCATACATTTTGGTGTTTTTTTAAAACATGAAAATTGTATATTTCACTGGTTTCATGTTCGTTCAATTAAGCATAAAAATCATATAAAAAAGTACACTCCACTCTACTAGCTCTCTGGATTGGACTTAGCGCCGAACCACCCTAAAAAAATATAAAGCTTACAGCAAACAGTATTCAGTATCATTTTAATAACATTTTAAAGGTTAATGTAAAAATTATCCGAAAAAAATTAACGTTATCAATAAGGAATTACTGGACGGTCGCGGTTATAAAATATAAATAAATTTATGTTTAAGTCTGTGTTTAGAATAGAAAAACTATATTAATAGTGGTGAAGAAATATTGAATATTGAAAAAAATATTGTATATAAAATTAATATTATATAATTGCAGATAGTATAGTTGGAAAGTTAATTGCGGTTAACAGTCAGTGAAAAACACACAAAAAATAAAAAAAGTAATTTATAAAAATTTGTATTTGTAGAATTGAATTTTTAAAATTTGTATTATTAGTGTTTGTTGCTGACAGCCATTTCCAATTAATTTCCCGGCCTTAAAACCTTGGTTTGTTTATGTACTTGTTTCCACAAGTCGATATTAATATATAAATGTGAACACAGTTCATGTTTCAACGAAGTTATTCTGTTATAAAGGTTGCGAATAGACTCTAAGACCCCCTCCTGGAATACGTTCTGCCCCTATAAACCTGGTACCATTAAATCGGGGTAGGGGGGATAACCCAGGTGGTTGGGCGTGAATTGAGACCACAGGTTTGCCGTTTTATGCGTAATTACCCGAAAAAGGGGGCAATTTGTACTTTAATAGTTAAAAATAGGGTGATAAAATCATAAGACAAATTTAAAAGTATTTTAAAAAATTAATTAATCGATTAGTGTTTACAAAACAAAATATACTTGCCAAAAACTACTAGGAATATTGTTAGTTATGTATGAATTATCTTCCCTAGACTATTTATCACAAAATAGATTGAAAATTCATATAAATAAAATTGTATTTGACCTCAAGAAGTTTTATAAAAGGCTTTTTAATAAAATTGAATATTTATGTGATCTTGTTTGTTTATATGATTGCGAATTTAAAACATTTAATTATTTGAGTAACATCCTCCTTTATGTACGACCTCTTTGCATCTACTGAGCATATTGTTTATAATATTATGACAGATTTCACATGGAATTTCATACCATAAACATGGTAATACGGCTTTCAGTAGCTGAAGGTTAAGAAGCTGCAAATGGGGGTCAAAACGACTTATCCGCCGTGCATCTACATCAGCTCGATGAGATTGAGTTGTGGAGACAATACGGGAAGGAGCAGATGTGAAATGTTCAGATTTTCAACAACTTCTCACGTAATGTCATCAAGAAAATAGAAATCTGAACCAATTGTGTTACTGGCTTGGGGAATGTAATCCTCTATAATTCCTTGAACATAACCAAATACAAATAAATGCATCAACCTCGGGTGTTTTTCGAAAGAAATCGATACTTATCTCAGTTACCATAACAATCGATTTGGGTTCGCTTAAAGAATAAACGATTCATACAATGCAGAAATGTGGGCTGGTAAGTCATTGCACGCAGTACCAGATGTTTTCATTATTAACTCAATCATTTCGAAACTTGGAACTGTTATAAATATACACGCATTTCAAACAAAATTAAAATTTTTATAAACTTGAACATCAGGATTTTTTGATCATTTAGACCCATCCTTCAAACCATGGGAAGGACGACTAGTTGTATTTTTGAAGATGTGAAATGATAGAGAGGAAGGGAGGAACGAGATATATTATGCATGCGGAAAGAACTTTGACGGGGCCCGGAGCCAGCTTGCTAATGTATCATCCTCCTGATGTTTCATGCATAGCTCCTTTCTAGGTATTCTAGTACATACATTCATTCCTTCTAATTATCATCGCATATACTAATACATAAAATAATATAATATGAACTTTTATATGCAAAAGGCACATCTCTTGAGATCTTTAGAATAATTAACAATTTACTCCCTCTTAGCCTTATTCTTTAATACTTCTGTCTAACAGACTTTTCTCTGTCAACAGAATTTACTACCAGAACCAGCCTTAGCAGTTTCTCAGAGGGTCAGCAACTCGCTCAACTGATATACATCACGCATACACATGACATGCCAAACAGTAATCAAATTATTATAGCAGCCTACGCAGACCATACAGCAGCTATAACAAGACAAACAAATTGCACGCACTCGTTCACAGACGTACTAAGATCATCTATAAACGATTGATAAACCTATGTAAAATTCGACTCAACGAAGAAAAATCCCAACACATTAGTTTCAGTCTCTGGCATAAGAATTGGCCACCTGTTTGCCTCCACAATGCCTAAATTCAAATACACAAAGTGCAATACCATGGACAGACGAATGAAATGGTGCACCAATAAAACCAAAAAAAAAATAAGAAGCAACTTCAAACCTAACCAATACGATTATTATTACTTACTTCTTTCCAAACATTCAAAATTAAAATTAAAACAGAAATTGGACGCTTACGTTTGCCACCTTACATTCATTTTTCATTCGACCTATGCTTCACACATTTAAGGGAAAGCCAAAAAGACCCATAAACATTTTAGTCAAAAACTTTGTGAACTAAAATAACTGAAGCTCCATGGTACATCACGAAAATTACTTTCAATAAGGACCATAAAATAACAACAGTTAACGGATACACGATAAAAAAATTAGTAATAACATACACACAAAAAACTAATACCCTCATAAAATTAAAGGTAGAGACACAATGAACATGCCCAATAACAACCGTAAGAGGCTCAAAAGAAGATGGTTGAGAAATCACCTCCCTTAGCTATAAATACTAAATTCAAGACAGGAAAGATTCTCCTGCTGAAGGCTCCTCCACTTAGCTTTAATTACATAGCTCTTTTCTATTTTCGCTTGCTACGCTCGTTCAAAAGGAATGAACTAACCAAAACGAGTCGTTTTCACTGGAGGTCCAGGGCTTGCAAGAAGGTTCGCTCGCCTCCGGTTACTTTCGGACAGACTCGATCATTCTCGAAATTTCATTTATAGCTTGATTATGAGATCTTGTGCCCAACCATCAAAGGGAGGAACGCTTGTAAAGTAGTATCAAGTTGTTTATTAACGATACGACCTGACCAAGCACAAAGGAAGAAGTCTATATTAATATTAAAAGTACAATTTGCAGCTATAGCACTATAGAAGAGTGTCAGAGAAGGAAGAGGCGATATAGGAAAGGATGGAGAGAATGCGGTAAAATAGGTGTACCACAAATTGAGGAAATATTTATAAGGAAGTATACAATAGACATTTAGAATAAAACGTATTCTGTTTTTTAAACTTTGTATGGAGAACCAGAATCATTTTGATTTTTTTCTTTTGTATTTATTATTGTATTTTATCATAATTATATGTATTTATTGTAGGATGTAGGTGTAGTTAGGTTGCTAATTACATGTTTTCATATGTCTCCTATTGCTTGATCAGCTGTGTTACCTCACTTTCCTTCCAGTAGGCGATGTGATGTCATGAAGCAGTGTGATCTTGGATTTCGTGTTCGTGGATTTTGTGTTCTGAAGAGGCCTAAATTGGCGATTTGTTGACGGATTATTTTATTCTCTACTCACATTTAAGAGACATGAGGCGATGTGGCTGGAATTTTTCTAATTATAATTCAACTTGTTTGGAAGTTGTTTTTTTATATTTTTCCAAAATAAAAATGAAATTTCTATTATATTAGAAAATTATTATATAAGAATTGCATTGTTACGCCGTATATTTATAAAAGGATTAAAATTGTCAATTATGGTATTATCTAAAACTATTAGTGACCCTTAAACTAAAATTTTAATAATAGATTAAAAATATAAGTAACAAACATATCTCTTGAACTGAAGTGACATTGGTAATTTGTTAGACTATATACTTTAATATATTGATACTTTTCTCCCAAAAACCTAGTGAATCATTGAGCTTAATCATATATTTTAATTTGGCATAATCATATATTTTTCATAAATTTGTTGTAATATTTTTACTTTTCTGACTGAAATAAATAATTTATAGCACATTTTGTGTAATACGATTTTTTTTAAAACATTTGTATTCTTTGGCTTTGACTTTTATGGAATTGACACTCATCTGTAAGTAGTGTGCAAAAGCCTCCTCCTCACTGTTGTTATTAAAGTTGGATTGAAAAGCTGTTACGGTAAATTCTCATTATACGAGATCGTTATCTGTTTGAATGTGTACGGAACATTATATAATTATAGTCTAATATTTATGATTTGTGAAAGTTCTTCAAGTTACTAAAATGGGAGGAGAAGACAGTGAAAGAAACCTTGCTGAAGAACATGAAAAAAAAAGAAGTTAAAAGTCAGGTTCATTCTGTGGAAGTGAACGTTGATCAAGGGGGTAGTTTATTTAATATTAATTTATTTCTTCTTAGGCCGTTATATTGAACAGTTCAAGTCTTATTGTCTTTTTATTCAGATGATACTGGTGCAGGTTTTCGATTCCAATTTATCGTATTGTATTTCGTTATTATTAATCAATAGTATTAATATAATTTTTAACGATAGTATGATCCATAACTAATTTTTTTTGTGTTGTATGTGCCCCAAAGCTCGGTACTCCTAATGTCCAAAAGTATTTTATTTTTTTATTAATAAGTAAACGCTTTGCATCCCAGCTGGCACCCTGACTATAACATGTAACAAAAAAAAGTGAATCAAACCTGTTTTATTTTATCTTAAGTTTTAAATTTTATTTTTATCTTGTTGGGGATGAGTAGCAAAACTGGAAGGAGGAAAATGGACGGCAAAATTCCCTGTAATTATCGAGCTTTGAAGATGAGAGGAATTTAAAACGTATTTTCCTCATAAAGAGTAACTGCAATAAAAGAAATTTTATAACCACTTTAATTAACGAATGCTGTTAGCCGATATCTGTTAGCGATCTCTTCTTTATAACAGAATATCCTGCCAGATAAATACTTAAATTAATAATTTATTTAAAACAAATATTTGCAATATTTAAATGGTAGAAATATTGATTAATTACTTCACATTTCGTTTTTTACACACATATCAAATAAAAGGGAGACAATACATTAAATCTGTTGAATAGAAAATAATAAATGCGTTGAAGTTAGCTATAGCCTAAATAACGATGAAGAATTGAGTAAACTAAGTCTCAATCTCAATAAATGGGACTTAATATGCTTAAAGTCATTTGCTACTTTATAATTCGTTCAAACTAAGTATTAAATCTCTTTTTTAAAAATCATATGCAGCTCATATCCATATTTATTTCATCTAATATTAATTGAGCCTTTCAGTTGACAGAATAACTAACTCCAATTTTATCATTTTTGAGTGAAGTCATATTGATATTTAGTAGTGATATTTTTTAGTTGGATAATTTATAATATCAGTACAGACAGTGAGTAAGTTGATTCTGGAATATCTGAGTATGTTGACTCTGGACAAGGTGATTTCAAGGTTGAAATATAGAACTGTGAATAAAAGTATAAGTTATCACACTAAAATTAATAATCAAAAATATTGAAATTGGAGTTAGTCATTCTGTCAACTGAACAGCTCTATTTATAATAGGTAAGGTATATTTAACATTTTCTAAACTAAATTAATCATATTGTGAAGATATGTAGAATAGGTAAAATTTTATGTTTTCCTTAACCATTATAAATTATTAAGAATGTTGAACAACATTTGATCATTTTATGGACTATGAGATAATTTGAAATAATTATTAGTTGTTTATAAAGTATCAAATATTCCCGAAGATGAGAAAAGACATTGTAACGCTGTAACATTCGAAATAAAATATACACAGAATTTTTATTATTTTTTTTTCATTAATTGAATATTATAACAACCTGTCATTTGGAAATTAGTTGCAGTGAGGTGGGATGACATTCAAACTATATGTACAAAAAAATATAAAATAAATAGAAGCTAAATAACAGTAAAAAATAATCAAAAAGTATATACAATAAATAATATAAAATAACTTTATAAAAATAAGGAAATTAAAACAAAGTAAAATACACATACATACATCTACAGAATTAGTTGTAAAAAAAAAAATCTGTACCACTAAAACCCATGAAGGGTCTTGAGCTCATAGCATTCTTAGGAAGGACTGTTTCATGGCCCAGGCGTGGGATACTGCTGATATAATAGAATAATATATATATATATATAATATATATATATAATATATATATATAATATATATATAATACATATATAATATATATATATATATATATATATATATATATATATATATATATATATATATATATATATATATACATACATATACCTATACATGTATGGTATGAATTATAAAAGGAAACTAATTTTCGCTAATGCAAATCAGTTGAATATATGAAATTTTGATTAAATCAGTTCTCTCTAGAAGCAAGGTCCCTCCTGTTAGTTTATCACTCTACTAGATTGGAATATGAAAATACGAGAGCTCTAAAGTAGCTAGAGAAAAATTACTGAAGCATTATTTCATCGGGGAAATGGCCTGGGCACTAATTTTGAGTAGTAATCGCTTCACGGAAGGAAGTTGCGAAATAGGTCGATCGTAAATTCACGCGAATTGCAATGTTTTATACAACCTACGAGTGTGGGGCAATGCTCGTAACATCGTTCTCAATCCGCCATGTGCAATTATAAGAAATTACCTAAACCTGGCAAACAATTAATTATTGATTTTACAATATGAAAGATGTCACATTACAATCACCTGACAGTATGAATAATACTTCCTGAATATGTATGAATACCTCTGTAAACAGACGTTATAGTATAACTAAAATAATTCTGATAGATCACATCCCATTTGCCTTAAGTCTCTCAAGTTCCTTTAAGACAGAAAAAAAAAACTAAACCAAGGAGCGTTTCGAGAACACTTTTCTAAAAGGATAGTCTTCTGATATCACTTCTAAACACAACCATCTGTCTTCACCTGTCTTTTTGGTGAGGTAATATTTATACCTTCTTTTTTTTTACTACAGATGGGGGTGGAGATATATTACATAAAAATTATATACCCTTGTGATCTCTTGAGCACTTCAGATAATAAAGAAAAAATCTTTTTGATATTTTTAATAAAAATAAGCAAGGTTCGTTCACGGCAGTGAAGTTCTTACCTAGGTATAGCTTCTTCCACTCGTAAAAAGAGAAGTATAAACTAATGGTTCTGCTATTTAGCAAGAACACAACATATTTCACTGCGTATAATAATGGATTAGTTCACTAGCGGATCCAGGATTTAATTTTGGGAGGGACTTCAGTCATAAATCCTTTATATATATATATATATATATATATATAACGACAATTACTTTGGAATAAAATGAAAGAAACTAACTACCTGTATGAAATCGCGTTTAAGTGATTCTTGAAGTTTTATTAAATGTAACAACACTAAAAATAATACTTTTTTGAAATAAGTTTTTTTGTACTATTGTATTGACTTTAAGAAATCAATACATTTTGTTTTTTGACGGTTAGTTCGTCCTCTTCGAAATTTTTCTTTCAATGATAGTGGCAGATCTTACTTTTTGTAGTTTTTTTTTTTATTTCTGGGCATCTCCGAAGTACGTGTATGAATGATTGTTAAACATTGCAACTTTATCACGTTGGGAGATTAAAGTCCTCTTAATAAGTGAAAATTCGCAATTCATAATATCTAACTGACAGAAGACAGTTTCTTCTGGCTTGAATATTCTGTTGGAGATTTTCGATTTGAAATAGTGACTTATAAAGTCTGTTTTAGGTTTGGTTTGCGATATTATCCAAATTTCTATTTTTTTTTTTAATCTTCTGGTAGGATTATATTGATTGTCGTTACGGGGATTATTGCTGGCTTAGTAAAAACATGCATTATCTAACAGAAAGGCTTTAGTTTTAAATAAATAATAATCATTAGACAATAATTCAACAATTAATTCTTTTTTTAGTTTACTCAAAGTGGAAAGGAAAGTTTCATCTAAATTTCATTTAAAAGGACTTGAAGGATAAGTACTCTTCAAGGCGTTGTCAACATCCAGTTTTTAGGTCCTCGTTAAGTCGCAAGTATAATTCGCCATTTTCGTTTCGTAATGTTTTATTTTTAGTATAGTATTTTACAAGCAACAATTCAACTGTACATTTAAAGCTGCTTATTGCGTTTTATATTACACCGAAATAAAATTTCATCATTTAACTTGAACATTCAAAATTTATGAGAATCGTTAAAAAAAAAAATAAATAAATAAAACTGCATCAAGAATCATCTAGTATTTAGTATTGATATTTAAGTCTCGTATATAATTACTTATCAACATATCACAAAATATAGGATAAGCAAGAGTATTTAGCGTAACACTATGCCAATATTAATTTTGTACGAGGGTTAAAAACAATTTGAAACTTAAACAATAAAAAATCCAGTTTAATAGTTTTGTGAATCCTTTTAAAGGAAAAAAATTAAAGTTACCAGAAACTTTTTAAAAATAAAATCCAAGGTTTATGGTAAATTTTAACTTTTATTTATTTAAGTTCTTACAAAGAAAGTTACGTTAAGTGAGAAATGAACAAAAATTGGGATTAAATTACAGCTATAATATATCTTAAATGAATTACTTGAATCCAGAGGGCAAATCGGAATCAATGATACATGATTACATCTGAATATAAAACATGATGATCAAGCAAATTATATACTTCATACAATAGCACTATAAATACAGCAAAGATGTGACACGATTACCTTAATACCTGATTGGAATTCAGAAATCTGATTACGACTATAATCGTGTAATCAAGTAATCAAAATTACTGTAATCGTAATCGTTGATTATGATTATCCTTATCTATGCTTGATTCTGATTGTGTTGTTTGCTTGAACAGCTAAGAATAAAACTAATTTAAAAATAAAGGTTCTATAAAATATTCACTTGAAAAATTGCAAAGGAAAAGATCTAGTTCGGAAATTATAGAAAAATAGATTAAAAATAAAGATTCAATTCGTACGGAAACTGTTAAAAATTACAAGTTAAAGTTTCATTTCAAACTCTAGTTTATATCTGTATCTTAATTGTACTTTGAACACGATTCGGCAGTGTCATTTTAGCCAATATACGTTCAAACAATCTTGTTCAAGGACAGTGGTACATCGGACTAGATCCACGAATTATGTAACCTTCTCTCTCCCCATCTCAAAAAGAGCATAAAGCAACCTCCAGACAGATATTATATTCAACGCTGTGTCAACAACGCGTTCTTGACTAAAATTATAAATATTGATAAAATAATAATATTAAAATAGAGTATTGACTACAATCTGGGTTATAACTTTTATGGAACTTTTTTAAAAGTTAAATTTTAAGATTTTTTGTAAAACTTTTTAGGAGAAAAGTTGTTGAAATAATAGTTCTAAGAAGCTTATTTATAATAATGTCCAGGTTTATGGTGAAAGTTTAACTAGTATTAATTTAAGTACTTAAAAAAAGTTCCGTCAAATGAAAAATAAACTGGACTATAATAAAAAAATAAAATTGGACTTTTATTAGA